TATTAATATATTACATATATGTAACCTATTATACACATATATATTGTATATGTTATAATAATGTTAGATAGTAATATATAATAATTACAATTTTGATAATAGTTTCCACATCACCCATGAGGTACTAATAATAGCTGATGCGTTTTTCTTAAAGTGGTTTCTCTAGTAGGCCTATTCCTAATGGAAAGCTATTATCAAAATTGTAATTATTATATATTACTATCCTACATATATAATTATAACATATATAATATATATGTGTATAATAAGTTACATATATAATATATTAACAATAAAAATTTTGATATTTGATTATTTATAAAAATAAAAATTATCTAGCAAAAAAAATTTTAATAACAATTTGGCGAAAAGTACGATCCCAGCATATTTTTTATATAGAGATTCTCTTGGAGACACTTGCGCGATTGGAGACTGTCGGACCTTGAACGATAGTGGGAGTGGTATCGTGGGCATCGCCAGGTATCGGACATTTGATTCTGAGCACTCATCCTACTAGATAGCAGAGTATATAAGGCTGCCTCTTGAAATAATCTTGAAGTACGCAACTACGCGAAACATAGAAGAGACGCACAATCAAATTTGTGAAAATGATACAGCCGAAAGGATACGTTTCTTCTAACAAGTTACAAAAATGCAACGTATTAAATTTAATAGATGAGTTTGAACAAGAATTAACACAAATGTCTGGAAAATGTATGGACGTCGGTTGTGGTCCCGGAGATATAACGAAATATATCCTTTTGCCAGCTTTAAATCCAAATGCGGTAATAATAAGTAAAACAATAATATACATAGACTAACGCTTATAACAACATATATTTGCTCAAATTATTATTTAATTCAATAATTGCATATTTTGAAGGTACCGATATTTCGGAAGGTGCTATCGAATTTGCGAAGAAAACATACAGTAACGAAAGACTCAGATTTGAAGTATTAGATATCCAAACTAGAAGTTTGCCTGAAAAATATATTTCTGGATTTGATTATATATTTTCCTTTCACGCTTTAAATTGGTGTTATGACATTCGGTAAGTCAAAATTCTTAAGTAAATATAAACTAGGCTTGCCCAACCTATCGATCGCGATCGACTGGTCGATCACAGCGTGATTTTTATCTAATTATTGTAGAAATATACCCATAGTTGATGTGACATTGAACTAACGTCAAAAACCAAATGTTAAAGTAAAGTTAAAATTCTGATCGAATCGACATTGAAATAGTACAAATTATTGACGATTCTTCGGCTATCATTTTGAATAATATCAATATTGAATCAACCACAATTAATTATAT